TGCTACATGTCTTGTGGGTGCTCTGTAAATGTTAACTCTTGCCCAGGCTTCCCTTCTCAGCACAGCACTTGGGTGCCCTTGGCCCAGGCATCGGGGCATACAGTGTGGGCCTGAGATCTGCCTATCAGTCAGAAGTTGACAGCTGGCATATGCTTCTAACAACATATTTCACATATATATAATATATATGACTAGTTTATTTTTCTGTTTATAATCATGAAAATTATTGTGATCTCTTTAATAAAGATTAAACTAGCCAGGCGCGGTGGCTCACGCCTGTAATCCTAGCTCTCTGGGAGGCTGAGGCGGGTGGATTGCTCGAGGTCAGGAGTTCGAACCAGCCTGAGCAAGAGCGAGACCCCGTCTCTATTAAAAATACAAAGAAATTAATTGGCCAACTAATATATATAGAAAAAAGTAGTCCCAGCTACTTGGGGAGGCTGAGGCAGGAGGTTCGCTTGAGCCCAGGAGTTTGAGGTTGCTGTGAGCTAGGCTGACGCCATGGCACTCACTCTAGCCTGGGCAACAAAGCGAGACTCTGTCTCAAAAAAAAAAAAAAAAAAAAAGATTAAACTGATTTAATCCAATTGTTTCTTGTTTTTAAGGCAGATATTTTCTGCATTTACCTTAAAAAATGGGGCTTAAGTTTTCTTGTTTATACAGTGAGAATAACAATATAGTCATTGTTCATGAGTATGTTGTGAGTATTAAATGAAATAATGTCCATAAAGTGCTTAGCACAGTGGCTGCTATATAACATTCAGTAAACTTGAGGTATTATTATTAAAGAAATAATAATTTGGGGGCCAGAGGAGCTCCCAGAACCAAGACACTGATTTTAGTGTTCAAATGAACCATTCCAAGAAAATAAGGCAACACATTGATTTATTAAATTCCTGTATGACTTTTGGACAAAACCTACAATTTGTTTGGATCTCAGTTTTCTCAGGTAAATGAAAGACTTAGGATAGATAACCTCAGTTTAAAACTTATGTGATTTTAGTACATGATCTATATTTTCCCTCCCATCTTCCTTTTACCAAGTAAAACTTATACAAAGTTTTGTCTTTGGGTCAACTAAATCAGCGTAAGTGATATTTATTGCCAAATATGACCTTTTGTTAGCACACTGGAGAATCCCAATGCTAATGTCAATTTCTGTAAATAGAGATTTCGGGTGAGGAAATGTTCTTTCTCTAGAGACGTTTAGCTATTGAGAATCTTTCTCTTTTTAGACTCTTGTCTGGGGGCTCTTACTCACTGGTGGCATTCTTCCCAGTCTCGCTTTTGTTACCTTCTTCTTTTGTGATCACTGCTACAGTTTCGAAGTTCCCCACTCAGCCTTCCCTAGTGGTTGGCATTGCATTTGAGTAGTGCTTTCTGACTTCCTCTACCTTTTGAAATTTAAAAATAGAAAATAACAAACAAACCCACATCAGCTGAACTCTGTTATACATCTTAACAGGTTTTCTGGTGTATTCCACAATTTAACATCCACAGTCAGAAGTCTGCCATCGGATTTTGATTATCAAACACACAATCAGAAATGGGAAGCAGCAGCCCCCAGGCTTTTTCAATTTCATAGTTATCGTGGGGGGTTTTTTTGTGTGTGTGTGTGAGACAAAGTCTCATTCTGTTGCCTCAGCTAGAGTGCTGTGGCATCAGCCTAGCTCACAGCAACCTGAAACTCAGGCTCAAGCAATCCTCCTGCCTCAGCCTCCCGTGTAGCTGGGACTACAGGTGCATACACTACGCCCAGCTAATTTTTTCTATTTTTGGTTACTTGCCTAATTATTTTTCTATTTTTTTAGTAGAAACAGGGTTTTGCTCTTGCTCAGGCTGGCCTTGAGCTCCTGAACTCAAGCAATCCTCCCGCCTTGGCCTCCCAGAATGCTAGGATTATAGGCGTGTGCCACTGCGCCCAGCAAGTTATCCTGTTTTGAAGCCAATAAACGGTTTTCAAGGTCTCACACGTTTTTTTATAGGTCCCTAAAAAACTGGAAGGCCTAAGGCACTGTACTTTATTGCCCAATGGTTAAAAATGCTCTGCCTGCCAAGTCCTAAGCCCTAAGGTCTTCATTCTTACCTCAAAGAATGAGAGCTGGTTTGGTGGACAGTGGATAGCAAGCTGCTGGCGTACAAATAGCACAAGTCCAGTGAAAGAAAGTGCGATCCCTACCAAAAAACGGAGGCAGAAGGGAGGTTGAGGGCTGGGCTGGGATGAGCTGGGCTGAGCTGAATGTGGAGGCAGAAGGAAGCCTTGGGTTTCAGCCATTAATTCACTGGGTAGCCTTGAAGAAGAGCCCTGTGGTCCTCTTCCTGCACCCATTACAGGTAGAGCATCCCTAAACGAATAATTTTTCGAATGCCAACGTGATACCACAAGTAGAAAATTCCACACCTGACCTCATGTAATGGGTGCCCAAAATTATTAAAAATACTGTATAAAATTACCTCAGGCAATGTATATAAGTTGTATATGAAACAAATGAATTTCACTTCATTATATATATGCGAATATTCAAAAATCCAAAATACTTCCCAAGCGTTTTGGATAAGGGATACTCAACCTGTGGTATCTTTGTAGATAGACGCTTCATCTGGCCTAGGTGGAGGCCCAAAGTCATCAGTTCTTTGGAACTGAAAGATAGGCCTAACCATCTGAACCAAGACAAGGGTTTCCTTCTGGCACATTAAAAGGAAAGCAGGCTGGGTGTAGTGGCTCACACCTGTAATCCCAGCACTTTGGGAGGCCAAGGCAGAAGGATCGCTTGAGGCCAGGAGTTTGAGACCAGCCTGGGCAATGGCGAGACCCCATCTCTACAAAAACAACAAACAATAAAAAACAATTAGCAGGGCATAGTGATTCGTGCCTGTAGTCCTGCTGCTCAGGAGGCTGAGCCAGGAAGATCTCTTAAGCCTAGGAGTTTGAGGCTGCCGTGAGCTATGATTGTGCCACTGGCAGTCCAGCCTAGGTGTCAGAGCAAGACCTGTCTCTAAAAAAAAAGCCAGGATAGATAAAGGAAAGCAGTTTTTTGTTTTTTTGTTTTTTTTTTGAGACAGAGTCTCGCTTTGTTGCCCAGGCTAGAGTGAGTGCCATGGCGTCAGCCTAGCTCACAGCAACCTCAATCTCCTGGCTCAAGCAATCCTTCTGCCTCAGCCTCCCAAGTAGCTGGGACTACAGGCATGCGCCACCATGCCCGGCTAGTTTTTTTATATATATATATTAGTTGGCCAATTAATTTCTTTCTACTATAGTAGAGACGGGGTCTCGCTTTTGCTCAGGCTGGTTTTGAACTCCTGACCTCGAGCAATCTGCCTGCCTCGGCCTCCCAGAGAGCTAGGATTACAGGCGTGAGCCACCACGCCCGGCCTGGAAAGCAGTTTTTATGTCTGTATTATTTTGCCAAAACAAAAAGGAAGGGAAGGGAGGAGATAGTAGAGAAAGAAAAGGGCGGGAGAAGGAAGAAGGACTTCGCTGTCAACACTTGTATTTACAAAGCTATTGATCTTTGGCTTCTGTGCAAAATGACAAGTGTCCCTTCTTAGAAAAGCTTTCATGTGAGATACTCCTGTCGCATTCAAAAAGTGTCTGTCATGTGTTTTTTTCCTCAGTGAGGGGCAAGTAGGATGTAATGGAAAGAACACGGGTGTCAGAAGCAGCTAGTGCTGTGTTCAAAGCCAGTTCAGCAGTTCTCCAAGCGTCGGGGATCTGTAGGGTTCTCCGAGAGCCTTTCAGGGTGTCCTTAAGGTCAAAAACCATTTTCATGATAACAGTAAGATCTCATTTGCCTTTTTCACTCACATTCTTTTTTTTTTTTTGGAGACAGAGTCTCACTCTCTTGCCCCAGCTAGAGTGGCATGGCATCAGCCTAGCTCACAGCAACCTCAAACTCCTGGGCTCGAGCGATCCTACTGCCTCAGCCTCCTGAGTAGCTGGGACTACAGGCACGCGCCACCATGCCCGGCTAATTTTCTCTATATATTCATTCTGTTGCCTCAGCTAGAGTGCTGTGGCATCAGCCTAGCTCACAGCAACCTGAAACTCAGGCTCAAGCAATCCTTCTGCCTCAGCCTCACCAGTAGATGGGACTACACAGGTACACCCCACCCCCGGCTAATTTTATCTATATATATTAGTTGGCCAATTAATTTCTTTCTATTTTTATAGTAGAGACAGGGTCTCGCTCAGGCTGGTTTTGAACTCCTAACCTTGAGCAATCCGCCTGCCTCGGCCTCCCAGAGTGCTAGGATTACAGGCGTGAGCCACCGCGCCCGGCCTAATTTTATATATATATATTAGTTGGCCAATTAATTTCTTTCTATTTTTATAGTAGAGACAGGGTCTCGCTCAGGCTGGTTTTGAACTCCTAACCTTGAGCAATCCGCCTGCCTCGGCCTCCCAGAGTGTGAATTAATGAATGCATTTTTAAAATTCCTGCCTTAATGTCTAATATGATAAATATTATAAATATAACCCACAGAGAAAAATCTCTTTGGGATCCTCAGTAATATCTAAAAGTACAAAAGGATGCAAACCTATGACTAAAAAGTTTGAGAACTCCTGAACTACCTAGTAGTAATTACTGCTTCTTTGTGCCGTGAGTTGTGCAAAGCACACGACATTCTTCATCTCTTTTAATTTGTGCAACAAAGCTATAAACTAGAGGCTTTTAACAAGTGCACCTTGCATGCCCAGCCTCTCCCAATGGACATGAAAGATAACCAGTTCAGTCCTCTGAGTCTGAAGCCATACCCTCCATCAAAACTTGAAAAAGTTTTTTTTCACTTCTCAGTTTTCTTATCAAAAATGGGTAGAATCAGGTGCCCTGTAGTATTCTCTTGAGAGCAGAAGAGTTCATACGCAACCAGGTGCCTAGCACAGGGTCTAACACCAAACGCACCCTGAGAGACAGTTAGCCTCTCTTCCTTCTACGCCTGCCTCAACTTTGGCAGAATGTTCGACCAAGGAGGCTCATCAACTCCCCTTTTTCCTCTAGGTGGTCTTCAAGCTGACAGAGAGGCTGATGGAACAGAAGGAGTGGATGAAGATATGATTGTGACCCAAAGTCAGACCAACTTCATCTGCCCCATTACACAGGTACTGCTTCCTCCTCCTTCCCCTGAAAGAAAAGACCATTCACAGAGGCCAGACGCCTCCTGTTTGCTTTCTGGTTTTATTTCATGTTGGGAGTTAAGGAGGGAGAAAAGAAAAGTGATGAGGATTGAAGAGTGTTCATGGGAGGTTCTTGGCCTGGAAAGAGCTTTCAGTCAACCATGCCCATAGGTCCTAGGAGTAAAGTCATGGCCCACAGGCCAAATGACAGTGGCACTGGTCTCCCTGCATTTCCTTATCAAAAGCCTGATAAGTATCTAAAGCCATGAGAATGGGAAGTTAAACATAGAAAGCTCTGGACTAGGAAAAAACAGCTCCTGGAGGTTGATCATTGTCATTCCTGAAAGCCTCACCTGTCCTTGATTACAGCTGGAAATGAAGAAGCCAGTGAAAAATAAAGTGTGTGGCCACACCTATGAAGAAGAAGCCATTGTTCGCATGATCGAGTCCAAGCACAAGCGGAAGAAAAAGGCATGGTGAGTGGGTGCAGAGCAGGAAGTGGCGCCTTCCCTAGTGGGAGGCAGTCAGAGGTGGTGTGTTCATGCTAGAGGAAAAGACACTTAAGCCTCTCCCCCAAATCACATTCACCTCCCGGATACTGTAAACATGGAAGCTGGCTTTCTGGAAAAACAATACGTGAGGGGAAAATTAGTAATCTGTTCAGGAAGAAGGTGAAGGAACTTCAACCACACCTTCAAAACAGAAGAAAAAAGAATTGGATTGAATCTCAATCATTAGATAACAGGATTTTTTATGAATTGGTGTTATTAAAAAATAGCCCAAGGAACATAAAGAACTGTGTGATACTAAGAGATTTTTTTTCTCCCCTTCATACACCCCCCACACACACACACACACACACTTACCCAAACAAGAAGGAATGGTAATTTTTTTTTGTTTCCTGTATTACAGGTAATTTGTTTAAAAAATATTATTGAGTAAACATTTTAAGAATTCACATCCAGTGGTTTTCATAATCAAGATTTAATTGTCATGGAAAACTTTTCATATATTTAATTACTTAAATGACTTTCCAGAAAGGTTTAAGTAAATTTGTGAGAATAACTGGTTTAAGGTTTAAGTAAATTTGTGAGAATAACTGAGAAATTATTTTCTTAATTGGAAGTTTTGCAGAATCTTTAAAACATATACATATTTTATATATTACTGCCTTTCCCCTTCCTCCATGACCACGGAGGACCATGGCCCCATTCCTATAATAACACAGAATCCTGAGTTAGCTGGACTGACTGGCTTTGACACAGTTTGGCATTTCTTGTGCTCTTATCACAGATTTGTTGCAGGAATGGAATTGCAGGTGTGACCAGTCCTCAGCAGACTTCTGATAACAGTCTCTTTGATGTGTTCTTTGCTTCTCCATTGCCTGGACATTTGCTGGTCCAGAACTAGAATTGGAATTCCTCACCACTCGTCATCTGGGTGTGGACTTAGAGATAGGGTTTCTGAGACTGTAAATATCTTGATGGTCATTCAGTCAAGTAATTTACCCTATTCATTCTAGAAGAATAATGGTTTTGCAGCCTAATGTTTACAAAATATAGAATATCTATAGTACATTTTTATCTGTTTTGAGTTACTGACTTAGATTTGAAATGTCAGGCCAGGCACTGTGGCTCATGCCTATAATCCCAGCACTTTGGGAGGCCCAGGTGGGAGGTGAGGATAATTTGAGGCCAGGAGTTTGAGACCAGACTGGACAACTTAGCAAGACCCCCACCTCTAAAAAACAAAACCAAAAATTAGCCAGGTGTATTGGCATGTGCCTATAGTCCCAGCTACTCAGGAGGTTGAGCCAGGAGGATCACTTGAGCCCAGGAGTTTGAGGTTGCACTTGGATTGGGCCACTGTACTCCAGCAGTGAGACCCTGTCGAAAGGAAGAAAGGGAGGGAGGGAGGCTGGGGAGGGGAAAGAGAGAGAAAGAAGAAGGATAGAAGGAAGGAAGGAAGGAGGGAGGGAGGAAAAAAAAGAAAAGAAATGTCATATTTCTTTAGTGAACCTATCATTTTCCCCAGTAAATATAATTTTCTTTGTTTTTGAACTTCCAAGCCTTCTAAGCAGAAAGGTGTTAAAATAATTTCTAAGAGCAGATATTCCTAGTTAGTTCCATTTCACAGCTCTTCTTTCTTCAAGTTTGTGATATTCTTTTTAGAGTCAGATGTGGAAAGGGCAGGTACCGATACAAAGCACGTTTCTCACCGCAAGTCCTAGGTCAGGTGGCAGCACCTGCCAGAATAGGCATCACGTTTAGATGGATCTTCTTAATTACATACTGTGACTTTCTAATGTCCTTTTTGAATTGTACGTGATGTTTGGAAGCACTTGATAACACTCGTCATTTAGAAAAGATTTTTTTTTCTGTCATACTGCCATAACTTGAGTGCTTGAAATGCTACAGATTCTCATAGCTTAATAATAATAACAATTAAGTCTGAATGGAAGAAGTCTGGGAAGTTGACAGAGAAGGTAGTAATTTTACTGGACCTTGAAAAATGAGGATTTCAGAGAATGGTGAATAAGAGTCTCCTAACCAAGAGCGTTACCCCACTCAGTCTCTATTATACTTGGTGGATAGTAAATACGGTTGCAGTTATTGTATATTTAGAGGGGGATTAGAAGGATGTCATGGGCTGGGTGGGGTGGCTCATGACTCTAATTCCAATTATTTGAGAGGCTGAGGTGGGAGGATCCCTTGAGGCCAGGAGTTCAAGGCCAGTCTGAGCAACATACCAAGATTCCATCTCTACAAAAAAATGACAAAAAATTAGCTGGGCATGGTGGCACACACCTGTAGTCCCAGCTACTGAAGAGGCTAAGCCAGGAGGATCATTTGAACCTAGAAGTTCAAGGCTGCAGTGAGCTATGATGGTGCCACTGCACCCTAGACTGGGCGACATAGCAAGATCCCATCTCTGGGTGGAAAAAAAAAGAAAAGATGCAGTGGATAATAAAGATAGGAAAGTGTAATAGTAGAGACAACATGGTGGCTCACCTCTATAATCTCAACACTTTGGGAGGCATAGGTGGAAGGACAATTTGAGGCGAGGAGTTTGAGACCAGCCTGGGCAATTCAGTGAGACCTCATCTCTCATAAAAATAATAATAGTAAAGCAAAAATTGTTTTAAAGGATAAAAGTAAAGATTCACTACAGGGTGTATAAATGTCATGATTTCATTATTTTCCTCATCTATAAATTGATGGTAGCAGTTGTAATTACCTCATTGGCATATTTGTAATTTAAATAAGATGTATGTAAAGTACTTAAAGTACTTGGCACAAAGTAAGGCTCAGTACTTATTATCCCATCATCATCATATTCAAACTTTAGCCACCACTATCATCACCATTCTTACCACCCTTACTCCATGGGGATGGGAGAAGATTACATTGAGGGAACAAGATGAGCCAACCTGGAGTTTAGGAAATTGCTGCAATAGCAATGAAAGGATGGATTAAAAAGGCATGAGGTGAAAAGGTCAATCCGGATGCTTCTGCAGTAGATCAAGCTGCAGATAAGGAGAGCTTACACTGAGGCAAGAATGACCATGGATGTGCCATTGATGGAATTTGGTGACTGACTGAATGTAGAAGGGAAGAAAAAGGGAGGAAGGATGGATGATATTTCTAATCCAGGTGTCTAGAAGGACAGTCATTAGCTGTCATTAGCCTCCAGGGAGGGCATGAGAGAGGAACACTGTTAAGAAAAGATTATGAGAAGCTCAGTTTGGGTCTTGCTAAATTTGAGGTCCCAGCAACACAGCCATTTGGGAATGTCCAGGAGGTACTGAAAATGTGGGTTTTGAACTCAGGAGAGGATGCAGAGCTAGGGAAGTTGATTATGAGGTTATCAGTGCAGAGTCTTCAGACCCACTCATCCGCCATCAACAGGCACAGGCCTGGAATGGATGCGTTCACCAGTGGAGAGCCAGCAAGACAGGACAGTGGCCCGGCCCCGAGCTCTGAAAGGCCAGATTCCAGCTTTGCTCTGCTCGCTGTGGTGCCCTCAGCACCGGACACAGAGCCTGGAACCAGCCCTCACAATGACAAGATCAGTCAGAGGAAGAAGACTCCAGCAAGCAGCCTACAACAGCCTGGAGGCAGGAGGGGTGACAAGGCAGTCGAGGGCCATGGGAGCCAATGAGCAGAGTGGGCAGGGTCCTGCAGACAAGGTGCATTGGCAGCAGGTTAGAATTCAGGGCCTCTATGAAACTTACTCCAAAGGTTTCTGATTAAGCATGAAGTGTGTCATTTCCCATGATGCATGTTAGGCTGATGAGCAGTTCTGGGTTCCCTTTGTTTAAAAATGTCTGTGACACATCCAGTTTGAGACATCTCATTTCTTCCTCAGAGATTGTCTTATTATAATACATTTTGTTAGACTGGAGTTCCAGGTACATTGTGTTTCTGGGCCCTGACTGAATTTTTCTGTGTGTGCTTTAGTCTCTGGGAAGGCCTCTCTCCACTGGCTTGAGTCAGAATAATATTGTTGACACTTTAGACCTAACTAAGTACAGTAGGTAGAATAATTTCCCCAAATACATCTCTTAGTAGTGAGACTATTATTATCGAATAAAGCTGCCTTATGATTGTCATATTAGTAAGATATTTCCAATTTTACCAGAGTCTTTTGTTTTTTTGCTGTTTAAGAACAGGAAATGTGTTTAACAGGCAGGCAGTCATATTTAAGGCATACAGAGTAAAACTAAGTTGAATAGAAATGATAGTTCAACAGCAGAACTCCCACTTTGTGCTTCATCAACAAGTCAATTCCCCTCTCAGCCTCAGTTTCCTCATCTGTAAAATGGAAATTACATCTTCCTCTCACAGCATTTCTAGGATCAAAGAAATGGCAGGGGATTTTATTCTAAGTTTGGAGCAGCAACTTTCTTGGCCGTGGAAAAGCAAAGCACGTAGGAGAAAGCTCTTTTTGGAGCACAGAGCACTAAATAAATAGCTGTAGGGTCGTTAAGGTGGAGACTGTTAGAGTTGTTATCACTCACCGTTTTGCTTAGCGACATGTTATTTTAGACTCGGAGAGTGTAAGATAGAATTACTCTCTCTGTTTAGGTATGGCAGGAATTCATCCTACTCAGACTTCCAAAGTATCTCTAGACCTTTCTACAGCTTGTGGATTGAACCTTGGAATTCTTGGAACCCAGGAACTCCTCAGACTCAGAATCTTGTACTCATGAGCTATTGCCAAAGACAAGGTTCACCGTAGCCTTGTGGGACCCTAAGACCCAGTTCCCTTTGTTCAGCAGACCCCTTTGTGCCTGCTCCATGCCGCAGTGGAACACTCTGCCTGACCAGGGCCCCGAGTTCAGGCCCAGCCTCTCCTTGCAGGGCTGACTCCTGCCTGCCTGAGCTGAAGACTGGGCATTGCCACACCTGCCTTGCTCACCAGGATGCCGAGGGGATTAGTGCCTCGCGCTTACATAGAGCATTGTTTCTCCAGAGGAGTGCCCTGATTCAGTACCATGGCATTATGGCCTTTTCTTATCCTTTTTAGTTGAAAAACTTGTGTTTGTTTATTTGAGTTGGGGCGAGAAACAAGGTTTTCCCCGGCTCCTGCATCAACCTCTCTTTCAGGAACTCTTCCCTAAACCATCATTCATGCTGGACAGGATGTCAGTGGCATCCGCATGCCGTGCCGGCATTGCAGGCCGGCCCTTCTCCACAAGCCTCTCCAGAGTGGGAGCTGCGGACTGGAGCAGGCACTGGGTCCTTGTAAGACCTCAGGTGAACCCCTTGACACACGGGGCCCACTTAGTTCTCACCACCCTGTGCTCCACCTGCATCTTCTCAGAGGGAAAAACCGAGGCACAGAGATTTAAGCCACGTACCCAGAGTGTCAACAGCCAGGGGATTTAAGCCCAGGTCTTTCCCCCTCTTGAGCCTGTATTTTTGTCATTAAACCATCTGGCTCCCTTTGGGAGGGCTATTCAGTTCATGCCTCTGTCTCCAGCGTCTATGCCCTGGGTGAGCTCAGACCTCTGTTGGACGTGGCTCACCCTGGGCTCCCTCCTGCTGAAATGAATGTGGGCGCCTGCCCCATAGCTGAGTGATAGAGTCAGTCCATCAGATGTTCTCAGAATGCTCTCATTTACCGGCTAAAACCACTGATGTCATCAGGAAGTCCTCCCCACTTCCCTGTCCACAGCTTATTCACTGTCTGGCTACCGGAGTTAGACTTTGCTCTATGCAGAGACCAAGGCCTGGCAGTCAGCAGTGGATGTTCAGTGGGTTGGCTATTAAGGGAGGGATCCCAGCAACCTTCTTGAAGTTGTGTTTCCACGTCATGGAAACTAAAGTGATGAAAATTGCCGTTTCTAAAGTGCTGTAAGTGCCCATATCCTCTTTATAATATTAGCTGCTTTTTCTTGTACATAAAGAAATAATTCACTTTGAGACTTCAGTGTATACAGGACAGGCTAGGAAAAAATACAGATTTTTAAACTAGTGTAAAACATTTCTCAAGCCATAGCCAAATCATCAAAATGATGCACGCCTGGGCCAAATCACCCTGTTCTTCTTTTATATAATCGCTTTTTGTAAAATTGTGGCTCAACACATGAACCTGACTACATAGGGCACATTTCAGTATTTTAAAAATAAATATTGTTATCAAGCACATGATTCATTCCATTGACTAATGCCCCTCTAACATAAAGACTCCATGGTCAGGGCCAAGAGAAACTTCTCTCTGGTGTTGGACTGTTGGGCTTCCTTCCATCAGACCGATTAGAACTCTCGTGACCAACTTTCTTCCTTTCTGATTTGCATCTTTTGTCTTATATTTGTTGTTTTGGGTCTTAATATACTCCTGCTGTTTGGTGAGCTGTCTCAGATCACTGGGCTGGAGCTGTGTGTGGGTAGGAACTGTGTAGTTTTCATAGTTGTGTGCTTATAACCTAGCATGGGGCCGATCACATAGGTCAATGAACTCATGAATGGGTGCATGGATGTGTTGGGCATATGCAAGATACAAATAGATCCAGAACTTTAACACTTCTTGGAAGAATGATGGTCAGGGAACAAATGATAGTCGTAGGAGATGCTGAAGGGAATGGACATCATTGAGCACTGTGTTGCCTGTCACCCTATGAAGTACATTCTCTCCCCATTTTAAGTCAGTGGGAACAGAGGCTTAGAAAGGTAAAGCGAATTGCCCGTAGTCTCAGAAGCAGCAAGTAAGTGGTAGAGAAAGAATTAGACCTAGGTCAGCTTGACTGCAAACACTGGTTCTCTACTCCACCAAAGCCTGGTCCACGCTGAGAAGCGATCAGGCGACTTCATCCAGTCCACCGCCTTCAGAGAGGACCACATCTAAACAGAGCCATGGCTTTAAGTCCCAGCCCTTTCTGGTGACTCACATGCTGATTTCTTCAGCCACAGTCTTTCCACCAAGCTCCAGAGAACCTGTGATCTCTCCACTGGAAGATCTAGTGGGCTCTCCAGAGGGAACGATGCCGGTCAGGACTCCCGAGGCCATACCCCGGCTGGTGTCACCCATTAGCTCCCGTCACGATAAAAGGCACCACCAGCCGCCCTTCTGCCCCGGCCAAACCCTTTGAGTGAAGCTCAGCTCCTCCCTTTCCTTCGCACTCCACATCCACTCCACCAGCAAGCCTGCTAGGTGCTACACGCTCAGGTGTGTCCTGAAGCTAATCGCTGCTACCACCCTCAGCTAAGCTGCCCTCGTCTCTCTGAACCCCCGTGGACTCCCTCTTACTAGTTTCTCTGTTCCACTCTTGCCTCCCTGCCTGCGTTCTCCATTAAGCAGCCAGAGGAATATTTTAAGTGTAAACCAAATCATACTGCTCCACTAGCTCAAAACCCTCCTGTGTTGCCCCTTCATATTTAACATAAAATCCAAAGCCCTGCTTGCCCTCTGACCTCACCTCCAACTGCTCTCCATCTTGCCCGAGTCCCTTTCAGCCACACACACTTTGTTCTCACTCCAGAGCACCAAGCTAGACCTCCTCAGCGTCTACACTCGCTGCTGCCTCAGCCTGGATCACGTGCAGACTTGTTGCCACACTCTGACCTTCTCGGTGGGGCTTGCTCTGGCCCCAGCACGCTCTCTCCTAGACTCTGCTTCATTGCCTTCCTAGCACTTAATGTACCTGTACTCACAGCAACCGTGTATCTGGTTACTTAGTGATTGCCTGTCTCCCGCATTAGAAAATAAGCTCATTTAGCCAGGCGTGGTGCATGCTTGTAGTCACAGCTGCTCGGAAGGCTGAGGCAGGAGGCTCACTTGAGCCCAGGAGTTTGAGGTTGTTGTGAGCTATGATGACACCACTGCACTTTACCCAGGGTGACAGTAACAGAGTGAGACCCAGTCTCAAAAAAGAAAGGAAGAAAGCTAGCTCCATGAAGTGCACTGCTCACACATGGCTTGTGTCCCCAGCACCGAGACAGGGCCTGGCTCAAGTAGGCACTCACTAAATAAAATCAGTCCTGATTTCTTATATATACTCTTTTTTGTGGTAAAATGTCCCCACTTAAATACTTAATGTGAAAGAAGTTTATGCTCAAGGCAGTTAAGTGGACTGACTTGATTTTCTTTCTTCCTCACAGTTGTCCTAAAATTGGCTGTAGCCACACAGATATAAAAAAGTCAGATCTCATGCTGGATGAAGCACTCAGAAGGGCAATTGAGAGCCACAACAAGAAAAAACATCGTCAGTTCGAGTAGGGAAAAGCCACCTGCCTGCAGGGAAGTCAGCAGCCTACCTCCTACCCCAGCCGCCGGTGAGAGCAGTGCTTATCCAAGCAGTAAGGACTGGCTGGGTAGCATACTTTGTTTGGGGTAAACTTCATGGTTTCAAAGGTGATTGAAAACATTTTTCTAAATTACACAACAAAAATGCAAGCAAATTATTTTGTTTATTTTTAAGTGTTCTATAATGTTAAATAAAACTTTGACTATCTGCAGTGTGTCCTGTCTCTGCTCCTCCTGAGCTGTTCCAAAGGTTCAGGCTTTTCTATTTCTAATACATCAGCCTGATTTTTATAATAGTTTTAGGTAAAGACTGTCTTTCAAGTGATACTTAAAATAAAAACGTATAGAAACGCCCCAGTTGCAAAAACATTTGCTATCAGTATAGTAAATAAGAACATCAGTTTATAATGCAAAAACAGTTTACTTTCCTATATTTACTTTGCATATTGACAGTTCCAAATACGTAAATGTTTTTATTATTATTCTGAATGGCATAGAATACTCCAGTAATAGGCTTATCAATGCCGTGATAATTGATGTCCATAATGGAAACTTTGCTGCAGCCCTCCAAGGGCCTGAAATCTCAACTGAAGCAATCTCATCCTGGCTGCTCTCTGCAAGTGACTTCACCCCCTGGGCCTTGGCCTTAAAGTAAAGGTGTTGAACAAGGTGCTCTGTAATGTCCTGTTAACTCTGAGAGTCTGTGGACTTATGACCAGCAGGGTCTTTAAGTTGAATATCTTCAATTATATTCTAATTGTGTAAAGATCGATAATTTGTTATCTCCCTTAGCATCTTTTAGCAACTAGACTATTTGTTTCCTTAAACCAAATGTAGCATACCCTGACAACACTGGGAAATCAAGAATAGCTAACGATGGCTAACATTTATTGAGTACTTACTGTGTACTAGGTGCTATTCTAAGTGCTTTACATATATACTAACTCCTATAATCTGCATAGCCCAGTGATAGAGGCACAGTTATCATTTCCACCTGACAGATAAGGAAAAAGGCACAGAGGAGTGAAGTCGCCCATGCAAAGCCATGGAGCTAGGCAGTGGCTGAGATGGGAACAGAGCCTGGGTAGCCTGTCCTAGTGTCTCTGTTATTAATCCCATACTCTCCTCCTCCCTATTGACTTGTTTAGTATCTAAAAATGTATTCAAAGCCCACATTTAAAAACCAAAGCTTCTGTAAATAAATAAGCATGTATGTACGTGTGCGAAAAAAGGAGACTAATGAAAATATAGGAAATAACTGAATTTGACATCCATGGCAGTAAAGGCCATGAAATCATAGCATATATCTGAGCTTAAAAGCATACTCTAACATGGCAGAATTAATTTTGAAAACATCTTCATGGAATTTGGAAAGTAACATGACATTCAGTTGTCTGCAAACTACGTGATTCTGAACTTTCCTAAGATGTTTTGTCTGAATCAGACTTTATTGAGGAAATGATTACATTTAAGGCAAAACAGACATACTATTCATGGAATGTGATTCTTTTGTGAAATACTTTGTTTTCTAAACAGATAGGGACAAGCATGAAATGCTTACCCAAGATTCGATTTTCATTTTTCCCAACTCTTTCTAAAGAGAATTATGGAGTATTGATGTGGATACCTATACCAGTTAGAAAAATGCAAAATAATAACAGCACTGTGTAGAAAAGGTATGGTATTTATGTCCTATGAAATTTTGTCCTTCTTTAGTCTTCAGAAACTGTTTCATAAATTTGTCTAGCCATTCAAACTTTGACGTTTTATATAAAATATATTTTCACTTTTGAAAGTTTATCATTTGATTGTTATTATCAATCTGGCATACTTAGTAAATTTCTGTTACAGGAGTTAAAAAAATAGAAAGCTGTCTTCAAATGAAATCACATATCTCTGACAAAGAAACCCAGTATATATGTCAGCTTGAAGAGGAGCAGTTCTAGTCAAAGAGGAGGTGGAAGTTCTAGCTCCCCTTTTCCCAGGACAGCCCAAATCCTATCTGAGATTACTCAAGGCCCCATGAGTGGCATTTGAAAACCACACTAGATGTTTTAGCTAAATAATGTTTCAAATATGATTGATGTAAGACTTGGACAATTGTGTAGACATGGCATTTTTTTAAAAAATGCTAATTCTCTTAAGAATCTTTGAACTAGTAAGTTTAAAACATTACTGCAAACTCCAAAAGATAAGATAATTTGTTTCTCACGTTATATTGAGCTTCAAGCTTAGAGTGTCAGCTTGAAGCGGCTTCTGCAGTGAGTGCTGCTTCCAGCTGACACTCCCCAGTTGTAGTTTTTTGGAAGGACAGAGATAAATTATATGACAAAGAGGAACCGAGGCTAGTGTGAACGGATTGCTTGCTATGCACCAGGCTCAGCTCTAAGTGCCTTCAGTGTATCATCTAATCTGACTCTCCCTACAACCCGAGGAGGTAGTTGGTATCACCCTTTTTTACAGATGAGGAAACCAAGGCACAGAGTCATCAAGTCATTTGCCCAAGGTCACACACTTGTACATGGTCAAGACCCTATCGAGACAGAGCAGTGAGTGCCCAGGTAGCACTCTGGCCCACGAGGCTCTGCCCCAGGGCCATAGCGGGCACTCATGTGATCAGCACATCTGCACTTCTATCCCATCTTCCTTACTGCTGTTGCTGAGACCACCGTCTCCCAGGCTCGCAGACTCCAGTCATCCAGACATTTTGCATAACTGGGTGATTCTCCCTTCCCTAGTTCTCTCTGTGAACTCTCCTCCAGACCAGCCCCTCCCTTCTTGCTTCACACTGAGACTATTCCCAACTGATCTTCTGACTCTAATCTTGCCTATCCTGTATTAATCTATTAATACTAGAATACTGGTTGAGTAATTTCACATCCTACCCCAAAGCCTTCCTTTCCTACAGAAGGCCATTTGGGCCTGGCATTCAGGTTCCTACCAGAGCCCAGCCCCTCCTCTCTGCAATAATCCCTTATTGTCCCAGCGTTCCAGCACCCCTCTCTTTACGGCAGGGCTTCTTCCAGGAGGGGAGCTAACCCTTAGGACTGACTAGCACATAGAGGTGACCTTGGGCAAGTCACTTCACTGGCCCAGGCCTCAGATTTTCCATATAAGTTGAAAGACTTGGACTTCTCCCTATAGTTTCTGTAAAAGCTATGACATCCCATGTCATCATCTCTTCAATGGTCACATTTCACATGACACATTGGACATGAGTAGGTCCCTTAGGAAGTATATGCCCCCTTCAAAAGAACACAGGCTGACATGGAAATTGGTATATATTTGAACCAAATGTCTACATTGAATCTTCAATTTCTATTTCTTATGGTTATAGAAACCTGGAAAAAAAAAAAAAGAATAGAAACAAAATAAAAATGAATCATCACCTATTTACTCAAAAAAAATTTTGTGAGGGTGTGGGGACGGGGTCTTGCTCTGTCACCCAGGCTGGAGTGCAGTGGTATCATCATAGCTCACAGCAACCTCAAACTCCTAGGCTCATGGGATTCCCCTGCCTCAACCTCTCAAAGTGCTGGGGTTACAGGCATAAGCCACCACACCCAGCCTTGGTAAATATTTTTAAGACCTTCTTTATATGCCATGTTTTGTGCTAGTCTTGTAGGGTACAAAAATGTCCCCCTCTGAAGGACTTGTCTAACTGGGACAAACAGACGTATATAAAACTAAATTACAGCCGGGCACGGTGGCTCACTCCTATAATCCTGGCACTCTGGGAGGCTGAGGCGAGAGGATTGCTTGAGATCAGGAGTTCAAGACTAGCCTGACCAAGAGCGAGACCCCATCTTTACTAAAATAGAAAAAAGTAGCCACTACTGAGGCAGGAGGATCCCTTGACCAGGAGTTTGATGTTGCTGTGAGCCAGGCAGACACCACACGGCACTCTAGCCTGGGCAACAGAATGAGATTCTGTCTCAAAAAAAAAACTAAATTCCATGAAAGGTTATGTGAGTACCATGTCTAGGGGACAGGAGCCCAAAGAAAAGAAATACAGGAAAATTTTGAGTAAACAAAAACTGTGTTTTAGTAAATAAGGTAACAAGCTTCAAAACAAGAGAATAAAAAGTTTATGAAACCTGGTTGGGAGATGGGGTGGGGTGATCCGCAAAGGTGGTTCCCCAGCTGTCTGGGGTCAGTTATGTTTCAGAAATCTGTCTTCTATCTGTGACAGACTTTGTGGAGGCGGGTGGAGGATAACCACTCTGAGAAGAAGGCAGGTAAAACTGAGGGGGAGCAGGAACCCTCAAACATGGCTGGTGAAGTTGCAAATTGATCCAGCCACTTTGAAAACAGCTTGATTTAAAAAAAAAAAAAAAATGTTAAATGTAAACTTAACACACAACCCAGTAATTCCATTCCTAAGTATTACCCAAGAGAATTAAAAACGTATGTTTATGCAAAGTCTCATGTACAAATCTTCATAACAACGTGATTTATAATAGCAAAAACAGTGGAAACAATCCAAATATCCAACTGGTGAATGGGTAAACAAAATGTGGTGAATCCATACAATGGAATACTACTTGGCAATGAAAAGGAATGAAGTACTTTTTAAAAAAAACCTTTGTGTGTGTTTGTGTGTGTATTATGTGTTGAGAATACTTATGATCTACTCAGCAAATTTCAAGTGTACAATATATTAACTATAGTTACCATGCTGTACATTGGGTCTCCAGAACTTATTCATCTCATAACTGAAAGCTTTTACCTGTTGACTAACATCCCTCCCTTTCCCCCACCACCCCGACTCTGGGCCCTGGAAACCACCCTCCTACTCTCTGTTTCTGTGGGCGGGAATGAAGCGCTTACTGAGACATGCGGTAACACGGCTGAACACTGCAACAGGTGAGAGCCCAGTCACAAAGATCTCGGAGGGTGTGAACCCACTTATATGAAATGTCCAGAAAAGAAATCCACAGGGACAGAAAGATTAGTGGTGGCCAGCGAATGCACCAGGGCCCACGTTGGGTTGAGGGAAATCGGATTGTGATGAAGGTTGCACAGCTCCAAATCGACTAAAACTCATTGAATCCAATACTTAAAAGAGGTGAGTTTTGTGTTGTGTAATGACACAAACGCGCTGGAAGGAGGACTGCTTTACAGGGCAGGGAGGGGAGAGCTCTCCTCAGGGCCACATTTGACATGAGTGGGAGCTGTAAGAGCTGTCAGTGGCCCAAATTTTAGCCGGTAACCAC